AAATTTTGGGGGGGGGGGGGGGGGGAACCTTAAACAAACTAGGACCGGTGTATGGGACAATGAAGTAAAAAACCTAATGTGGTAACTGTGATGCAATGGTGGGGAGGGGGACACACTGCTTTAAATGAGCTGATTTGCATAACATCAGCTGTCCCTGCTTCGGAAACTGTAACTAAATGAATATTCAGATTACTGAACAATTCCGTCATTACAAAGTTATAAACTGGAGTGCTTTATGGGTACTGAAGTGACATGAGAGCGCTCCAACTCTCCCTCTTGTAAGATATACAGATCACAAGTAAATTTGCAGTAAAATCCAAACACCGCTTTGTGCTTCCGAGACTCAGGAGTCCCTTACACCCCTCCCCCCGTGTGTGTTCCCACATGCCGGCAACAAGCCCATATGGATGTACCCTTACGGTTAACTGTGTTCTAGATTCAACTGTATCTCAGTAGCAGCACAGGAGATGGCCGCCCGCCAAGATGGTGGTGAATAAGGGTGGGCAGATGTGACGGCTCAGGGGTCAGCCGGATTCTACGCAAGACAAACAGATGCGCAGTTAGTTGCAAATGGTGTGTGTGTGTGATGAAAGCTGACCATACGCTGTTAGAAACTGAACATTCATTTGTGATTGTTTGTCAGGGCATTAGATCTTGCCATCAAGTCAACTAATTTCGTTGCAAAAATTTTCACCCAGACCAGCTACTTCTATGAAATCCCGAACGTATTAAATGGGCTTCATTTGTGCCCAGCATATGCGCAGTACAAGATGTACCATTCTTCCTGAATGAAATTCACAATTACGTACAAAAAAATGAGAAAAATGTTCCATCCTGTGCTTTTGCTTTTTCTCGTCACTATGGTCCAAAACGAACGTCAGTCAGACTCTACTAACCATTGGAAAATAAAAAAAAAACATCTTGAAAACAAAACTTTGGGAACAAAAAGTTCTCCTGGAGTCTGGCCAGCTTGGTAAGAAATAGTAAATCAGATCATTGACTCGGGGCTATATTAGGTTTCATTTTTTAAAGCCACATTGCAGAAAAATTGTACTGACAGCTATGATTTAGGTGACCTGCAGCAAATATTCACTGGTGGTGAATCAATCACTGTCATTTACAACACAGACACTAGGAAGATTCACCTGCGGTGAATGCTTGATGAATCTTAGATTAAAGTGACACTAAACTCAGGAGTTATTTCTTAAAATTACATTCAAGGATCATCTCTGAATTGGTGCTGACACTGTCCTTCCTTCTGGAGGGTGGCTACTTCTGTTCCCCATAGTCCCTGTGTGTGTTGTAGAGTAGTCACTTACTCCTATGATGGACTACAATCTCACATTTAGTTTAATCAATTTAAGATTGTAGCCCATCACAGGACCGAGCTTGGAGAGGTGGCTACTTTACACACACAGGGACCATGGGGAACAAAAGTAGCCCCCCTCCAGAAGGAAGGTCAGTGTCGGCACCAATTCAGAGATGATTTTATGATCTACAGCCGAGTGATACACAAATAAGGTCCAGTATTGTTAATAATTAAGGTACTTGAATGTAATTTTAAGCGATAACTCCTGAGTTTAGTGTCACTTTAACTGCTTTATATAAATATGCCCGGAACTGTAAATCAAACAAAACAAAATGTTTATGGTCTTCTTCTTGTTTTAGGTTTATTGTGATTTCGGTCATTTATCTTGTAATAAAAGAAGAAAATGTCAGTCTCGTGTTATCGGCCTGTTTGTCCCTACGAGTCTGGCTGTAACATACACCCCGTCACATTTATTTTATTCACTTGTAATGCCACAGACCGTCAGAGAGAAAGCTGAACCCGTCCTATCAGAGCCAGCTACTGAGCTGCCCATAATCTGATGTCCTCACCGGAGACGTCCCTGGCTGAGCTGGATCATTAGCGAATTACCACCGTCAAGTAGAACTCCTGTCCAAACCTTTTATTTATGAGTTGGGGAAGGGCTAGAAACTTCATCAAGAGTAACTTGCTATGCCCACCCTCAAATACCAGCTTTCACTGGGACACATATGAGGAAAAATCCAAAATATGACGTCACCACTGGAAGGTGACGGAAAATCACCCAGCGGGGCACCAGTCCCGGGGATAATAGCCAAATGTGGGATTTCTACTGATTTTGGGGAGGTGTTCTCTTACTTCCTGCTGAGTCTCTGAGACAGGAAGTGAAGGGAACTCTCCCAACAAGGAAACAGCCTGACCCTTTCCTAGTCTATCCATATGAGTATCTTCT